CCTGTACCCAAAGCATTTACATATGTGGCCTCAGTCAAGATCATACCGAACCTAGCTCTCTCACTGTAGTATTGACTCATCAACTCAACATTGGGCACTGCTGTCACAGGATCGGCTCGACACCTAGTGCAGGGCGCCATTATCATTCTGTTCTTCAATGTTATGTCACCCATTTGTAGGGGTTCGAAGATTTTAGTTGCAGACATGTTTAGAATACAAGGTTGGATAAAAGTATTGATACTTTTATGCAGTTCAAGTGGGATCGTGTTCGTTATTTATGTATAAAATGACTATAGAATCCCTTGAACGTTGAGATGCACGAATTTCCTCCATATTTTCAGTTCTATTATCATTATTATTATATATAAAAAGCTAGAATAGACTTCCTAAGTGCGAAGAAACTAAATCTATTTCAATGAAGAGTATCGATGGCGATTTTTATAGATGGTTGATCATTTTTGTATACGAACATAAATCATAGCTTTCTGAAAACTATACCAGCAAGCCAAAAATACCACATTTAAATATAAATATTAAATTCATGATGAACATCTCTTCTTCTTGGGGGGTGCGGAACACTATATGAGATATATATTTATTTGGACCCCTCAGCATACTGGCACATAGGGAAGGCTGTACCATCTCCTTTGGATCCCTAATTCCCTATAGCTAGATAAAGAGAACACAGGGGGAAGGCTGTTCGATCTCTATTTTTGATTGATGAAGGCCGTGAGGAGTACTATGATTTTTATCCGATTCTGTGAGTGGGACCCTGGGGCCTGGGTCACTGGGACTGTGGGACTGGTATTTTTTTTTAAGAACAAAAATACAAAAACTTTAAATAAATATACGGAAGAATGAAATATGAATGTTGAATGTTCCCGTGCAGGTAAATATTTAAATATGTTCAGAATAAACAAGAAAAAATAAACCGAATCACAAAAATTGATTTTCTTGACAACTCTCCACTCTACAGGCTACTACAGAGTACAGACTACATATAAATACCTGGGCTGGTATATGACAGCACTTTTCGCTGTGACAACATGTTAAGACCGTCGGAAACTACTTCTCTATGACGAC